TTTGCAGAAGCATTGTCATAATTTAGGTGTCCTAGATTTTCCTCTTAAAAACAAGTTTCTTCCTGAAATCAGTATCAGCCATCTGAAATTAAACCTTAATCTGTAAATACCTGCAACATGTCCCTGTTAAACTGAAAACTGTCTTCCCTGGCTCCCCTGACCTCAGAGATTATTCAGCTTCTGCTTCTCTCAGCAGTTTTCAGTCCACTCTTCAATCTGCTCCGATCAGCTTCTTCACAGCTCAACATTCCCTTGGCCAGTAACTGCACCATCAGTCTGGCTTTCCGTGATAAAATAGTTCTCCACAATAGGATCCATGCTACTGCAATTACATTGTAAAGGTGCAACCTTTAGGGCAACTACCTCATGTTTCCAGATCTGTGATATCAGCCTCTGAACTTTCCTTTCAACCTGAAGGCAAGTGGAGATCCGATAGTGCTACAGCAGATGTTTAGCAAACGTGCATACAGCCACCCCACAGACAGGCAGTGAAAAAATTCTGTATTGTACTCACCACATATCTGAGAGATTCCTGTTGTACTGCAGATAAATAACATCAACTATCATAAAATATTGGCTTCAACTAAAGCAGGGGAATATTTTGAGATCAGCACCCTTTGCAAAGAGCAACACCGCTGTGTTATGAATGGAAAATAACCAAACGCAGAACAAAATATGTGAGAGTGAAAAGCCTAACATCCGAAGCTGAAAATATCAAAATTATCTAAAGTTACAGCTGACAAAGTAGTTGGATTGAAAAAAAAAGGTGCTGAAGCAGATTTCAAGCACAAGAGAAAGGTTAAAGGACAAAATGAAAGATGAAGGAAACAAATGGAAGTGCTGCCTGTTTTAGCCATCAGCAGCCTTTTGTGAAATAGTTATGGGAGGAAGGGGCCTCTACTTTTGTCACCATATGGAATTCTATTCCCAGTGTCTTATGCCTGCAGTAAACTGAAAACTTCAATTTGCTAGAGTTTGTGGTAAAGTTTGGTAAAACTATTCTACCTCTAGAGAAGGATCGTAACTTCCCCTTTAGTTGGCATGGGTCACACAGCAGTTTGAAAAAAAAAAATCCAGTTCAAAACTAAACTTGGCCAAAAAATGAGCATTTCTCCCCTTTCAGCCCTTCTGAGAGACAAACCTGCCATTCTAAGCACCAATTTACTTTCTGACTTTCAAAGCATACCACAAACTCAGATCTTAGCACAGAATGCTTTGAATTCAGATTGACTAAAACACTTTTACAGCTTGATACAACATTAAGATATTTGATTCATCTGCCCATACTCATCAATCAGCAGGTAAGAAATCAGTAACATTACTAACTTCCTGGTTATCAAACTGAGCAGAATTTACCTTTAATTATATTTAGACCAATTTCTTAGTTCTCATAGTCAAAAAAAATCAAAGCCATAATTCTTTTCACTCAAACCTAAGGCAACTTAAGGCAACTATTAAACAGTACAAAAGAAACAGCTGTTTTGTACAAGAGATATAGACACCAATTACCTTCTATCCCAAGAAAGTCTCAGTGGCACCTTAATTGTTTGCTCTGGCTCTTCCTTGTTTTAGCATTATGAATACTGATCATCATCGCTCTGTGGCCACAAAGTGAGCATAAGCTCCCTTAAAAAAGGGTTCATTACTTCCCAATCCAGATTATATAATTTTATGATTTATGACAGGATTAAACATGGTTTTAAGATATAAAAGCCATTTAAAAATAGATATTTTAAATTTTATTTTTCTTTAAAACCTTTAAAAAAGGTATTCTAGATTGAAGAGGTAAATGATCTGTGTTTTGGCAGGGACATAGTATTCAAACATGGCAAAAAGATGAATTTACATCCATAATTCAGCTCTGAATTACAGTTTGTATCTTTAACGTGTCCATGTTTTTAACCAAGAAGACAGTAAAGCCTATTCAAAATGAGCTAAAAACATCTGCTGGAGTTCAGATAACTGATGATAATTTCAAGAGACAAATAGAGATGGATGAAGTTGAAGTCAACATTCATTTAAGGAGTAACTTTGTGAATTAAGAAGAAAACGCTCAGACTTTAAAGACTTTATTACAGATTTTACCACACTGCTTCAAATGAAACATTTTGTAGTGATTCTTCAAATGAAGACAAAAGGAAAACTTCAGGTACATTAAGCATGCCACATGCTACCCTATCTCACACACCATGAAAATGCCCCAGACAACGTAAAGTTTGAAACAGAATCCAGATCAGTTTGATGACTGGAATTGGAAAATATCACAAATATATAAGGATAAAGACATTTTGCATTACTACTTGGACCTCATTATTTTAGCTGAACACATTCTGTCTCAAGGCTTTAATCTCTGTATAACTAGAAAATATTATATGTCCGTAGTACAATTTGAATTCAGTGAATTGACTAATGCTTAAATTTAGCTAAAAATCTGGACAACCTGACAGTCAAAGCAGGTAAGCCAAGGTCTATTGACCCCAGAAAAAACACGTAATTCTGTAAGAAACTAATATCTAGTTTTTCAGTATTGTATAATAGCTCTCTTAGTGCACTGCATTTTAAAAGCCCTTAATGTGAGGCAGAATATGAAGCTCCCATTTTATTGTCCAAAACTGGTACGTAAGAAAATACAGAAATTGTTCAAGGATGTGAAGGACCTGATTATACCTTTTTTGAGAGATGCTTGAGGTTTTAAGAACCTGTCAGCACAACACTAGACAACAGTGAATATTAGGCAGTAGTTCTTTCCACAGAAACATCCACCAATCCATATGATGATTATATCATTGCCCCAGTGGCTCAAGTTGTCAGTCATAATTCTTAGCTTTGCAAAACAGCTTTCATTTGTGTTGCAAATTTCTTATACAAATCAGATACATTCCACTGTATTTTTTTAATACACAAAAATAATAAAAAGTCATATATGATGTCCTGGTTCCCTAAATATAATACAAAATAACACATGGAGATCCTAAATAGATCTATACAACAGAAATTAAAATCTTACTTCTAATAAGAAGTAAATAAATAATAGAAAACCCATTTTTGTCAGGATCAAAAGGGGTTTGGTTGCCTTCTCCTCCCTACCTCCCCCTGCCCTCAAACTGGAGGTCAATTCAATGAAAAGAATAAGAGTTTTTCCTGGAGAACAACGTTCATATGTTCATACTTCCTAATATTTTGTCCCAATGCTTTTGTTTGTTTGTTTTCCCTCAAAGTTTGTCAACCTTACAAAATGTAACAGGCACCACATAACGCTACCAAACACTGAGCACAGGGCCTGTAAGAATCTGATGTTTGGATTCCACCACTGCACAAGAGTTCGAAGGCAACTGCACTGGTCACTATGGTTACAATGAACCTGACCAGAACTACAGAAGCCAAAACAACTAACCCAGCAAACAGGGACCAAAGCAGCACTCATGTGGATCCCTGCAAGTAAACCCACTGAGCTTTAATTATCTCTATCAGGCTCCTTGAGTGGGAGAAGGAGGAACAAGGTACCTTGCTCACTTTTATAAATGTCATTGCACAGTCACAGTTTAAGATATGAACAGCACAGTCTGAGAAACTAAAGAATAATCACGAATGCCTCAGTTTTTGCAGTGATTAACAAACTAGTCCAGAAGCCACTGAAATTAGTAGAAAGACTGCACACGCATTAGCTCAAGCCCAGACACCTTCTTAAGGCATGAATTATGTTCATAACTACTCATGGCAATGTATACAGATGTCAACTTCCCACATGCAGGGAAAACATTTAGTGTTGGACCACACAGACAGATCATGGTTGAAAGTACTTTCGAAAAATGCCCACAAATGAAATTTTAATCAGTTTGTCTCTCAGAAAGCAACCACACCAAATGTCTTCTGTAAGGAAACAAACAACCGTGTCTGCATCGTAGTTCATAAGAAATGGAAGTACGTAGCATTTACAAGCTATACATGACTGACTCCAGTGTCTTTGACTAATTCAACCAATGAAGATAGCAGCTTATTGATGTCTTTTAACACAGAAGAATTTGTGTATCATAAAAAGAAATCTGAAATACACAAAACACTAAACTTGTTTAGAAATCTTCCTTGTCTGGTTCAGTTTAGAACACCCACACATCATCATCTTAGGCGTAGAGAATCATGAATCAGATCAGGGTCAGCTTGGTGCTTTGAACAAAGCTATATAAGACCAAAAGCAGCAATGAAAAAAAGAAAAAAAATTGAGATTTAACTCTAAAAATCTTTCTAGTTTCTCAATTAAGCCAGAATTCTTTCTTGTTTTTTGTTTAATGTCTAAGAATAATGAGTATAAAGATCATTGCTAATACCTATGAAAATAAAATCTCTTACCTATGAATTTGATATCAAAGATTTAGCTGGATAACAAATTCTACACAGAGTAAAAGTCTCAGAGATAGGAACTCAATCACACTCAGCAAATTATGGATCTGCACTGGAGTGTTTTTTCCCATTTCATGAAAACTGTCTAGAATCTCACACTCTAAATTATTTTTGAGAAAAAAATTCAATAATTTTTGTTTACAAAAGGAAACAAGACAGAAAAAACGCTGCCAAAGTTTACAAAGTACAACAGAGATTAAACATACATGAGTTTAAGTCCTTCTTGGAAATTAAGAAAGTTAAAAACTTGAATGTCAGTCATCACTACACTATTCCCCAGTTTATTTTGGAGTCCTTCTCACCCTATCTCAGTCTCACTACTCCTGCTTGGCTTGCTATTTTACAGCAAGTATATTTTGGCCAAAATATTCCTCAAAAAAACTCTGGTGATATGAGTCCCAAATTAGTCTACTTAATCAGAAAAGATAAAACAGGAAAATCATGTGCTGTTAATAGGAAAGATGCAAAAATCTTGTTTCAACAGGCACTCGGTTTCACAATGTCAGTAGACTTTCTTTTTTGGGATGAAAGCTGGAAACATTTATTTCCAGAGCATATGCTCACAGCTCTGTTATACAAGAAATAAAGAATCAGGGTATTACCATGAAACCATTGAGCAATCCTGTTGGTGTTCCTCTCAAATCCGGCACGTCGGGGGATCTGCTCTTCTTTGAACCAGCGGATGATGACATCTCGGGAGAAGGGTCGGGATGGACGCTCCCAGATGTTACTGCATTGAAAGAGAGAATTACTAGTGCATGAAAACAAGAGACAATATAATTTTGGGGTTTTTTTTGCATATTTACTAAACACACAGCTTCAAAATGGCCAGTGTAACTTTGTTCAGTATAACTCACTGAACAACTTAAACCTTTTCAAAATCTATTAAAAGTATTTTGAGTTTTTATGGAAACAACAATATTGCGACTTTTACATTTGCAATGGAGCCTTAGACATTTTTTTAAGCACAGAACTTAAACTGAAAATCAGTTTACCACAAAAGATGCAATGGATATTTCAGTCAGTTTTCCACCTCATTTTTATTCCAAGATAAACACTCATGCAAATTTTATTTTTTTACTTAGAGTATACTCCTCTTCACTGGCAAGAAATTCTAAATCAGAATCAGCTATAATATGTTGTGTCTCCAAACCACTAAGCACAAGAGAGGGAATGTTTTGTTTAAGTCCTTATATTCCCTTTGCATTCCTTACTTGAAAGCCTCCCTTACTCTTTCTACTCATTACACTTTCTGTGCATTTTAGATAGTAGGAGACAAATCAGATAAAATATGTGGAAGATCCATACAACTGCCACAAATAAGGTGTAAGGTATACCACATCAAATTCAAGTATGGTGGTATGCAGCTGAGTCCTCCTTTGAGCTTATCTTGCTGTTACTTCAACTAGTGACTGGTTCTGTTGATATCAACTGATGAAGCCCACAGTGAATGTAACAGTTATTGCTGAATTACATAAATGCATGTGAGTAGATCTGACCAATATTCACTGTAAAATTCGAAGATACAACCATAAGTGGGGGAGGGAAAGTGAGAATTCAGTTACAGACAGAAATTGAAAAAAAAACAACAAAAACAAATAAACGAAAAACCACAAACAAATAACACATTTCTTATTTCTAGTTTTTCAATACATTATATAAAGAAACAAAAAATCCCTTGAATTGCAGGGCTCTACAGTCCATTCTTGTTCCTTAACTCATTTCTGTCTAATTCAGTTAAGTTTTGAACAACCTGTCACATCCATAATTTTTCCTGCCCTAGGCCAAATCTCAAAATTACTGTGTCAGTTTCTCCACAGCTTCTGTGCTCAAGCTTGTTCAGTAGGGGCAGGAAGAAAGAACTACAACCAGAGAAGTAAAAATAAAAACCCCATGGTAGGCAAAAGGATAAAAGTGAACAGGCACGTCAAAGAGTTTCTCAGGAGGAGAATGCTCAGCAAAGTAAAAAAGACAGTAGGAAAAAAAAATCAAATGGTTTTCTATTTAGCTATACAGAAATAAGAGAGAGATACCTCAAGTAAAAATAAAAGAATACTGTTTTCTTATGGTTTTTAAAAGAAATGACAAGGCAAGGTAAAACACTAAAGGAGCAATACCTCATGCTGAAAAACTTAGAGACATAACACTGAACCTACATTCCCTTGAGGCAAAAAACCCGTCTCATAGCTGTGGTAAATAACATACTGTGCGTCTCCTCCTTGACCTCCCAGGTCACTGGTAAAGTAAAATCTTTCCATACCAGTTAAAGATGTAAGAAGTTGAATTGTACACATTTATGTATATTCGCTATTGAAGGATTTTTGTTAAAAGTAACTTTTATGTTTCTTGACAACTTCACAATCAAGCCCTGGCTAGACAATAGGAAGTCTTAATAGGTAAGAAAAATAATTACTGCCTCATTTTTGCAGTATAAACATAGCTTAGAAACAGATAAATAATATTGAATGTGAGCTGGATAATGATGGAAATACTTTTCAGCTTTTTTTTAGGTCCTTTTTGAAAATTATCTAGCTAGCATCACCAAATTCTATGGTAACTTTAAAGATCCTGCTCTCTCAGAGTGAAATTCTGATTCTTCCTCAAACTGAGAGTTTTGGTTGCTGTTATGGGAGAGTTTCTATGTCTCAATATAGCAGAGCAAAGAACTTGTCAAAGCAGAACGCATTTCCAAACAATGGAATATCTGTGGTGCTACACTGACTGAGAAGTAAAAAGAATGTAATAGGACTCTTTTCTTTCTGAGCTTGGATAGTGGTAGCTGGGATTATTTAGTTGTTTTAGAATTTATTGTTACCATCCTGTCAGAGCCCACATTGCCTTTATCACCACATGAAGTGACCAAATTAATTGCTTATACCAAATTAATGGTATAAGCAATAACTAGTAAAAGAGTAGAGCAATTAGTCAGCTTCCTAGCACTCATTTGCCAGTTTGAATTCTGTTCCTCTTCTACAATTTCTAGTGCTCCCTAAATAGTCATATGAAAGATTAACAAATAACAAAGACACTGGATTTGGCCAGAAAAAAAACCCCAAAAACCTAAAACCTCCTGAAACTTAGGACAGCTCTCTGTAAAATAGAGCTATTAAGCACCAGGCAATTTTAGGCTTGAGGCTTAGGACTTGCCTAAGAATTTGTCCATTTGACTTCTCTGTGCCACAGCCTCACATACTGACCTAATACTGACATTTCAAGAACTCCTCTCTCTCTCTCTGCGTGAATTCTAAGAAATCTGTCTGAAAAAGAAATGGCGTTTAGTTTACATTAACCTGGTTTTATTTTTCTTTAAACATTCTTTTTCTGGTCACAGTGAAGCAGCAAGACTGAGAATTCCCAGCGACTGAAGAACAGCTTGTTGAGATGGTGGGAACTGGAGAGGGAACCATTCAACAGAAAACTGTTTCAAAGTCACTCCTGTACAAACCAACCTGGGCGCTGCAGAGAGAGAGAGCAAAGGACTTGCGCTGTTGTTGTTCAGTTTTATCTCCTGGTCGTTGTTCAGGTTTGTCCCCTGGAACAAGTTACTCAGGCCAGCCACTCTTCCCTTCTGGATGGCACGCAGGGATTGCCGCCGGTATTCATCCCGCGCCCTGCGCGCTTTGTGGCTTCTCTCCTCATCTGCAGCCTTGGAGCGGCGCACTGGGGGGAACCAATGGGGAGGTTGGGGAGGAGAGACTTTAGAAAAACAAACAGCCATTTATTTACTCCTTTCCTTACAGAACAACCTTTATTCCTATATGACCTCATCTTAATTTCAAATGCATTACACCAAAGGCTGGATGACATTCCTGGTGCTTCAAATACGGCTCTACCACTAGAAGGAGACAGCCAGACTCGAGATATCAATGATCTGATCACTACTGGCAATAACTGAGCCTCTAACATACTGTGATTACATCTGACCTTGCTTTGGCTGTAATAAGAGAAATTCTGCTTCGGGACATCTTTTCCATTGGCACTGCATCAAGTTCTGTGTTTCAAGAAAGTATTTTAATTGCTGCTTAAAATTAAGTTTGGGTTCAACAGAATTCTTTGCCTCTATGAACATAACTAGAATTGAAGGAGGCAATCTCAAAATTTACAATTATTAAAACTAACAAGTAGGTTGCATTTTTTGTCAGTGTTGTTCTCTTTCTGAAAAGCATATGCTATCTTTGTCACAGTACTTGTAGTCACAGAAGTTTCCTACTTGAAAATTTCACTCTAAAAATGGTTTCAGTAACAATCGATAAATTAGTAACCACTGGAGAAGGCATGCTGATGCTATGGTTGGGGTTGTCTCCCACTTCAGTCTCTGAAATTGTATATAAAGAAACAGAATCTCTATCGGAAGATTTAATACACACCTAACAATGGCAATGACCAGGGAGTTGCCCATTTCTACAACCTGAAATGAGGCTGCTGTTCCAGCCACTGCAGGTCAGGCATCTTTTACTGAAGTTTCTTCATTTTAAAACTCATGTACTAACAATCCTGTCTTTGAAGTGGTATAACTTAAATGCACCAAGAATTGTACCGCAAATATTCATCATGTATCAGCTCTTTTCTGGTGCCTTAAGCCCCATTTGGATGATTTTTTGAGTCACAAATAACTGCAGGCAGGCAAAATTTTCCAGTGCAAAACAAACCCTTAACCTCCAGTGAAGCAAATACTAAAGAAGCAAGCTATTGCCTCTGGTAGCAATTAGCAATCCTGCCATGACTATCCTGGCTTAGATCATATCCAGTTCATAACGTGCATGCACTATTTCTTACTCAACTGTGACTGTACCTGTGACTAGGAATGCATGATATAACACTGTTGCATTTCATTAGGCTGTTTGCATCCCTCTGGTTTACACTCCCAATTTAAAGCAAGCAGAAATATAAATTGATTTGTCCAAATTATGAGAAGGTGTATTGAAATAAAGCAATAAAAGCACTCAAAGCCAAATGAAATTGAAAAAAAAACCTTGTGGGCAAATGAGAGAAAGAGAAAAGACCTTTAAGCTCAGATTTATATAATATTATCATAAGTAGAAAGATATATAGAACTGAAAGCTCATCAAGATAGCATAGTAAATGAGTCATAGATGCTTCATATGTACACAACTGGCAGGATTTCAGTTTCACTTAACTACATACCCTGTAGTTTTAGATAAACAAAGTAACAAACAATTGTACGGTACAGAAAACATGAGTAACAGACTTCACTGTTTATTTCACAGGTCATCATTTTTAAGGGTAGATAATGTCATTTAAATATGCTACTTCAGTGGCTCGAGTATATTAGCTACAACGTTTCTTTGATTTATCCCTTGTAAAGCCACTCAGTAATGGCCACTTTAAACACGAACTTTGTGTTTGCAGCACGAGGAGAGACTGCAAGGAAGATGAGTTCAATGCAACTTGGCAAGGCATTTAGAAACCGGTCATTGCCACAATCACAATATACAGATTGAGGGCAGGCTGCCTGGAGGTTCATGGGATTCTTTTCTACTGATGCACAGGCTGCCTGGCAGTGAAAAAAGCAAGCTACCTTCATGCCCCACTTTCCTCAGCAACAGACACTCTTTTCAACAGACATTCCTACTCTATTTTTGCTCACTAATAAATCTGTACCATCAGAAGCTGATGACCTGGGCTACATTTTCCCAAACTGTAGAGCTTCTTATCACAAAACCATGGGGAGAGGTAGCACAGTTTGTAAGTGTTAAATACCAACATTTCAACTTCCAGAAAACCCTTGGAATGCACCTATTTGTATTTATGAACATACTCATGCATGTCCATATGCGTTTGTGTATTTGTGTCTGTACATAGGTCAGGATGGGGAAGGCTATACACAGGCTTTTAGATTTATATCTATATCTGTATGTAGTCATCTCTTTCTCATTAAGAAGAATTTTTATTGAAATTTCCCAGGTGAGATATCTGAAGAATTCTATCACTGACCATAGGGATGCATAGAGTCTCTCAATCCAATTTTTTCCTCTTTACTGGAGTCCTGACCTTCTCCATCTCCCATTCCTTACAGTTATTCCCTGAAACATTCCCCTCTTTCCTCTATCTTTCAAAGTCATCCAGTACAGCTTCTACTGTGGACCTGCTTTGCAACGTTATCCTGAGCTACTTTTAAAACTCTGACTTGTCAAGGGACTTTGCAGGCAAATAATCAAAGTCACTGGCACAAATAACTGGTTTTGGTGACTGGAAATTGTATTGTGAATAAAGCCATTGCAGTCAGGAATCTACAGAAAGGTTTTTCACTACACTCCAGACAAAGTAATGTGTGTCACATGAACTATCCTCCCATACTGACACTTCCCACCAATTTCTCTATCTTGAGAATGTCACTCAAAGTCTGAAGGTAAATCTGGATCTATTTCTGTAGCAGATTTTTCTTATAATAGAATTTTGTGAATATTCATATTTCCCTCTTTGGCTCTGAACCATCTCACTAGGAATAAGAACTTTATGTCTGGATCAAGTCTAGCACAAATATTTTAAGATAGAAAAAGCCAAAATTCTGCATTACTTGCATTTTGAGAGACATCATAGCCTTTCTCACAATAAGAAAGCAAAAGTAGTCGGGACTTCTAGTACTCCCTTAAATAGGAACAGGTTATTGTTCTTAACTGGCTGTCCTTTTACAGCAAATGTACTTCTGGCATGACCCATGTACAAAACACTCAATTCAATAGTCAGTGTTCTCACTAGAGAGATTAGATATGTGAAAAAAATCTTACAATCTTTGAATCATCACCACAGGTCCATATATCTAGCATCAAGAATTACATCAATAATAATTTACATATTTCTCATCTTCCTTTTATATTACAGAATAATGTAAGGACTGGCAAGACAGGAAAATGAGGAATTTGTTAAGCTCCCAGGAAACCTACAGTTCAGGCAAGCCCTGGAAGACCAGCTCCAACACCAGTTTTCTCTTCCAGTGTTGGTGATACCAACAGGTACATCTTCCTTCAGCACTTGCAAAATGAAGCACATTTCTGTCCTGGTGGAACTGTAGCTTCTGTAGAAATGCCTCAGCTGCTCATATAGGTTAGGTGTCAGTATGACTGTAGTTTCAGTAGAGCAGGCCAAAAATGGGTTACCAAACCCTCCTGGAAAACTGGCAAATATATCCAAAACAGTTATCAGTACTAGAAATTAGTAGTTTAAAGCCAGCTCAGGCATGTCTACGTGATCCGCAGTGTGAACATACTCTCAACAACAGAGAACAACCCACAAGCGGTGTGTGCAACAGCTCTTACAATCCTAGAGGTGTCAGTTGGCTTGTTTTCCCTGAAGAGTTTGTGGAAATCTATTATTCCTCTATGCTAACCTAAGCTGTCTTCTGAGCAAAAATGCAAGATTGCCCTCTAAATTTTCACTTTGGACTGGTAAATCCCTATTAGCAGTCCTGGCAAAGTTCTAATACCAAATCTTTTGATATAGATGAGGATTAATTCATGCTGCACTGCAGGTGAACTTGATCACATAATTTGTGAAAGACTAGGAACTCTCTATTTTCTGTAACCTATTTTGTGCTTTTGAAGAGCTATGACTTGCAGTCAGAGATATGTGAAAGCAGCAAACAACATGTGTTATGATTACACATCCTAATTTTTAAATTATTTTGTTTTGGCTTTACGCTCTTGTTAACAATTCTTGGAAGCTTGTTTATGAGCAATTCAAAATGACTACTTAATAGATAAAATTCAATCTTCAGATTTTCTGAGTGCACAGACAAATCACACAGTGGTTTTTTGCCTTTCCTAACTGGAAAAAAACTTTCCACAAATACTCTGCAATATGGCTCCAGTACAGCAATTTTTATCTGAAAGTATTTGAATAATCCCATTCCTATTCAACAACGCACTCTGAGACCTATTGAAGTTCAGAGGGTACATACTTTATGTTAAGCACTTGCTTAGCTAATGTATAGCTGAACTGGGGACTACTCACTTCAAAATTCAGCATTTTGTCAAACGCTCCTGCCAGTAAACTCACTCTCTTGTGTTTCTGTGGAAGATAAGTCCCAAATGAATTCCTTTAAAAGCCAGGCAAAAAATAAATTCATAGATACATTTGCAGAAGAACACAAAAATATAACAATATTAAAGAAGCTATAATGAGTCAGCCTGGTATTCTACTTCCAACAGAGACCAAAAGTGGGTGCTTGGGGAAAGGCATAAGAATAGATCAACTCACTCATCTCTGTTTACATTTTTACTGGAATAATTTTTGTCTGCAGATGAGTAAAGTTGGTCAGATGGTATCTGAGCACTTCACTGCTTCATGCAGTTTGCAGGGATTTGTAACTGTACTAACAGAATGCTTTTTGCAACACCCAATCAGATGAATATTCATGCTACAGATTTTTTTCTATTATGTTTTGCAGATTCCTCTTCTGCTTTCACAGGGAGAAGTCACTTTTAAATACCTCAGAAACATAAGAAATGGAACAGTCCACAGAAAGGTCCAAAACTAATCAGAATGTGCACCCTCCTCTATCACAGCTTAGCCTTAGTTCTCACTTCTCAGTCTCAAAGAATTAGAGTTTTGAACAGTGGACTCTCTGAATCAGTCTTTTCCATTATTCTCATTTGCCAACCAATATACTTGTTCCACTTATTAACTCACAGCTATCTTCTAAAATAACCCAGTATATATCTATTATATGAAATCAAAGTGTATAATTGCTCTTGCAACACCATATTTCCCCTTTAGTACTGATTTCTCTAGTTATTCTACATTTGTCATTTACCATACTAAAAAGCATTCAAATTATGTATTTCAATTAACACAGCAGTTCTATGGGCCTTTATTGTTGTCTGGCAAACAGCAGAAGCCAACTGAACCAAACAACAGAAACTAATATTAGCAACACTTTGCTTATTGCCTTGGCAATAAACAGCTGAGGGATAATGTGATGAGGAGAGATGAATCCTCATCACATTCTAAATTCCATCTACTAAATAAGTTAGTGGTGTCATCAATATCATTGCTACGTTTGCTCTCCACAATAGCTGCTCAGGCACTACTGTTCCTCTGCAGTGCTGACCCCCAGCACTTCTGAACACAAAGGGCTGGCTTCAAGGAGGTAAGATCCAAAGGAGCCTGGCCCTGCTCCTAATGAGCAATATGGTTCCCACTGCAAGTGTGGAGAGGCAAAAGATGTAAATATTACATCTGCTTGTAATTCTCTTATGCATTCATGCATTTATTTATTGCTTTAAAAAGATGACTATTGGATAGCTTTGCCTGACTTCAGTAAGTTTCCTCTTGGTGTTCCATAGGAACTTGTGGACAAAAATGGAAGGATTACCATAAAAAAAGGAACTGAAATAAAAAAAGTGAAAAATCTGGTGAACCTGAGGTACTAATTAATTCTGTAGCAATTTCAGATGCTCCCAGTCCCAGATATTTGCTACTGGCGGTCTGCTAAACATTCTGTCTGCTGCAGTAAAGTTAAGGAAATTAAAGATGTTAATATTGCTGAGGAAGCTCACTGCAAAGTCTGACAGCGTGGTTTAAACTGGCCAGCAACTGGTGTGAGATAAGGCACTAAACACTCCATGTCACATCCATTTGCTAATGGAGCAGAGTTGTAAGCCCTCAAACCAACTGGGATGAATGGAGACACTGAGATAAGCATAAGAGGATAAACAAGGATGTGCTACACTCTAGTCATTAGTCTGCAGTTAGTTTAATGCTAAATCAATTACTGATAACAGCATAAGCTCTGGCAACACAGCATTTATAGTAGGCTGCAAACCCCAGCTGTGGTGCCACCACAGAAGGTGCTGAGCTGTTGTTCCCCATGGCAGCGCTACTACTGGTGACCAGGCTCAACAGCTGGAAATCATGGGGGCTGCCCTTGGTCACCTTGAGGACAAGCAGACAGCTCTGCAGGTATCAGGGCACTCAGGCTACTCAGAGCACACAGCATCCTTCAAAGCTTATGCAAGAAAGGAGCACTGGTGGCAGAGTACACCCATCAAGCGGTGCAGTCGCAAGTGTTTTGATAGAACACAAATGCCAAAATCTTACATAGCTTATTCCTTTCTCTGTCTTCTCCCATAATTCCTCTATTGCACTACTGGTGTCTGTCCCTGTGCAAAGAGGGCTACGTGAGAAAACAGAAGTAACAATTTAAGACCTCAGTTACCTCTTTAATGCAAGGAAGGATACCTGGTTTCAGTAGTCTTTATAGTATTTTGATTTATTGCCAATTTCAGTGTAAAGATAGACTGGATTTATTTTAATTTTTTTTTTTTTTTTTTACAACATGATTGTAAATGTGTTTTTTTTCCTTATACACCACGAAAGAAATGCTAAACTACATAGCACTAATCTCTATGCTGAGTTGGCAGGTGACACTAATTTTCTACAGAACTAAAGGGCTACTTTTCCCTAAACTCATTCTGTTCTTAAATACCTAAAACACATAAAGCTACAGTTTTAGTTTCCATATAAATATATACAACCATATCTAGATAATTCTCTGGGAAATAATTACCTTCTCTTTATTGACAGTGTAATATACAGTGGTTTTATTGACCAAAAAAAAACATGGTCTGTTATGAGCTTCGAAAATGGCACCACTGTATCTTATATAGATTTAATTCATGTTGCACAGAATTACTCACTATCAGATCAATTCTAGGTAATAGCACTCCAATAATTAGTCCTTAGGAACTAATGAAGTGATGACTAAAACCATAAAATAAACTCATCGTATATTTTGAACAATTTTTCTACCCTGTCAGGAAATAAGTAACACTACAGCAATACTTTCTTTCTACTCCATGGGGTATTTCTTGCACAACATATCAGCTCCCTAAAACTCCAATTTTATTATTAGTTGATTAACTTTTGTGTTACATATAATTACTACAATAACCCCACAGGAGCTAATACTTTCCAGTCATTACACTTCCTTTTTCTGCAGAGTAATCAAATCAGGAGAGGTGTGAGAAATGGAAAATATTCTTCCCCCTCTCCAAAAAGAAAAAAAAAAGCACAATTCTTCTTGCAAACAAATTTCTTACTTCCGAAGCCAACTGTACAATAGACACCAGATAGACAGACACTTCGTTCACAGTAAGCTATTAAATATCATTTATTCATAGTGTGGACCTTTCCTTATTTACAGTATGAATGTATACATTTATAGTAATATAGTTGTTCTGCTCCTTGCAGAGTTTTAAAAGTCACTAAAAAATTTAAATTAATCATAATTATGATAGTTATAAAGAATTTCAAGGTGTCTAAAAATGAACAGTACCTCCACAGAGTGAGATCACCATCATCATAAGAAATTTTTTTTTAGATCAACAGTCTAATTATTATTTACTGTAACCTTTAGGAATGAAGTGAGTTTCAGCACTGATATCATAGCTTCAAGCAGTTACCATGTAGAAGCAATTAAAATACAGATGAAGACGGATTTTACCTCCTCAGATATAGCTATGGACAAGCTGTCAAAATAAGTGTGTCCTGCATTATTACTACTAAGCCAAAACCATTAATTAAGTACATTAGAAAAAAAATAATGATCTCAGTCATTGTGCACAATAGATTTTCTGTACGGCATTGAAATGGATTCAGAAAGAAATATGAAACTTCTGTTTATAAGGTTAAGCTGGTAATCCCTGCCAAAATAATAGAGCTTTTTGTATTGCTCTGGGTAGAAGAGAGTTTTGGCAACATCTTTTCCATCCTACAGGTTTCCCTTTGTTTGCTTTCAGAAATACATTAATCCTGTGAAGGTGATTTACTCACACTGTTCTTCCCACTCCTGGTCATCGTCGCTGTGCTGACTATGCTGCTGAGCTTGCTTGAGGCTCAGATACAACTCCTTTGCTCGGATTTCTTCCTGCTGCCTGATTTGTTCTTCACCCTTTTGTCTTTCCTCTTCTTCTCTTTTCTAGGCAAAACGAAGTAAGCCACAAGTGACTAAAGAGGAAGAATGTGCCCAAAGCTGGGACACTGCTTCAGTTGCTTCCTGTGACAGAGTAGCTGCATTACCCTTGGACAAATCCCTGTCTCTTCTAACCTTGAGGTTTTCACATAACAGGCATAATTGGAGGGTATGTTTTGAGATGCACAGCTATCATAGGAATGAGGAATATGTAAGTATCTAAAATCTGAAAACTATATGGAAATTGTTTTATCACGTGACCCCAAAGTCTGTATTATCCTACAGCCCATAAGCAAAGCTTGTTTTATGTCCACATGTAACTCCCACTGAAGATACTGCTGCATTCAAGCACTACAGAATCTGTAGAATTCAGTAACTCATTGCATTAGAACCAGTCATACCTGGGCACAGGGAAAAAAAACACAAAAAAACCCCAAAAACAAAATCAAAAACAAACCTCCATGATTACTTTAAACTGCAAAAGAAATTTCCAAATCTACCAAGACATTCCATCAATCAGCTGAGCTGATATATTTGAACAAACGTTTCTTAAGAAAAAAAAAAATTACCAGTACAATCCTAAGACTTAGTAAGATGCAAATTCTGAAAATTATGATCCAATGGGATTCCTCCTGCTTTCAAAGGGAAATTAGACATGTTTACCTTCCATTGTATAATATTAGTACACTGTGAACTTTATGAGAGGGCATATTTTCTAAGTTTAAAAACAAACTTTCACCACAGCAGGACACACAGCATGACCAAAACAATCCATGATCTATTTTAGGTACTACAAATATGAGAGGAGAGATTTAAAAACTGAGGCCAAAATCTGACTTCTGTTATTCTCTAAACCTACTCTGTGGGTTCAGGAGATGCAAAACTGAGCTTTCATGATGTTGCTCATAATCCTGCAAAAATTGACTTGCACTTTTTTTTCTATGTAGGTTCCTCTGTTCAGGTTTTAAAGACGCTACTTACCTGAAAGTTCTTTGTATAAACTTTTGGTATCATTTTGCAACTTTTTAGGCTGAAAGGGGCTGAACTATCCAAAAACTATATTAATTCTACAAAATATGCATTAATTAACACTTCCTTATAGTAAATATCTTTTATTTGACAACACATTGGAAAAATCCTAATTCAAAAGCTGTCTGTCCTATCTTAACAGCTGCCAGGGCACAAACAACAAAAGGCAACCCAAATATAGTACTTTGAATGTTCAAACAATGTTGTTTGGACAGGCTGAGGAAGTTGAGGCTGCTCAGCTGGAGAAGAGAAGGTTGCATGGAGACCTCACAGCAAATTTCCAGTACCTGAAGGGGGCCTACAGGGAAGCTGGAGAGGGACTCTTGTTTAGGAACTGTAGTGATAGGACAAGGAGTAATGGTACAAACTGAAAGAGGGGAAATTTAGGTTGGATATTAGGTAGAAATTCTTTACTATGAGGGTGGTTAGACACTGGAACAGGTTGCCCAGGGAAATTACAGATGCTCCATACCTGGCAGTGCTCAAGGCTAGCTTAGACAAGGCTTTGAGTAACCTGGTCTAGTGGAAGTTGTCCCTGCCCATGGCAGGGGTGGTATGGACTAGATGACCTTTAAAGTCTCTTTCAATCCTGAACATTCTATGATTCAAAGAACAATACATCAGGTTGCTCATACTTCTGAGAAATAAAATCCTAGTATTGTTTTTCAGTCAAATTTAACGCTAGTATCTCTGATTATTTCTAACATCACCCTTCCACTGTTATCTCTGGAGTCCTAAGAACATGAATTGAGTAGACAGGTCATTATTTCTGAAAAGTCAATTATTTTAGATAGCACTGATTTCAAAGCCCAGCGGCCTCCTCAGAAAAAGAAAAAAAAATTCTAATATCCCTATAGAATTAGTGATTCCATATTTCAGTTGCTAGTAAATGGTTCTATTCCCTTCTTGGAAAAAGTATGAGATCTTTATTCTTATGAGGAGAATATTTATTTACTTAGCTTCATTACCTAAAACAATTCAATACATCTAGGCTATCTTTTCAGGAAGATGGACAGACTCAAGAGTAATCCTGGGTTATCAAAATGTTTTATATTCAACCTCTCAAACCACGGGGTAAAATTTAATATAGAGGAAGGAGGAAAAATCAATCTCACAGCAGTTTCCCTGAATCACACAGAGTTTTGTTATAAGTTTGGGTTTGTTTTTTAATGTAGCTATAATTGAAGCATTTCTAGTAAAAAGATGAAGTGTGTAGAGAAAAACAAAACAAAAAATACAAACTAAAAAAAAAAACAAACCTCCACCAAAAACTAGAATTCAGATAGAATTTGAGTTCTTAATGGAAAACAGAATGTCTACCAAGAAAATCCTACCTCTTTTTTTTTTTTTTTTTTGCTGAAAAGAGGAAGGTTTGAGTCAAAGAAGAGACAACAACAAAAAACTTAATGCTGGCACTTGATTCTGGATTCACCAAGGCTTTGTCATATAATTTTGCTTCCTACAGAAAGAAAAGTTTTAATTTCTCTTTATTTCATTAGTGCATGGATGCACATGCGAGTACATTGTACAGCTCCTTAAAGGTGTGCGAGAGGAAACAACCCTTGCTAGTCGGACACAGGAAAGAACAGTGATCCTTTTGTCAGGGATGATTAAACAAAGTATGTATTTACAATGAACAACAACTGAACTTCTCACATTTACTCCACTGGAAGAATACAGCAAACAATTTATTTGCTTCTCCCCATGAACTCAATCCTGCACATCAGAACTGAGAGTGAAGAGCTGTAATAACCTACAAACATCACCTTCTGCCTGACTGTCGAGAGAGATTGTACTCCGTGCCTTGTCCCTTTCAGCTCTTCCAGAATAATTAGGAAGCTGGCAATTCAGTACAGAGTGGCAAATTGCCAAGAAATACCAACCTGAAGAAACAAATCACACTGACAATTCAACAGGCAGCAGTAATCCTCTCAGGTATTAACTCCACTGGAGAATTTGAACATGCTAAATGGTTTTATCCATCCTCTGGCAGTTGAGAATTTACCACAAACTTATTACTGTCTATGTGTTCCTCACTGTGTTTTATAACTTTGCTATGGACAGCTCTAAATAACATTTAATATTAGCCATGGTTAGGTTCTAATGTTTCAGTCCAAGGCAGATGAGAGGAGATAAGGTCAGCATTTAGTTTTTGCTGCAGTTAGATTTAAAATATACACTGAGGAAAAGCCAAAATAGAGTAGTGGGGTTTTTTACAATGGAAAACTGGGCTCCTGGCTGCCATGGGTCTTGGGATCTCTCTGGGGAGTCTTACAGGGTGGAGGGCAGCTGAAAGACCAGCTTCTGGCTCAAGGCAAAACCCATAAGGTGATTTTGTTGCAACAGTCCTCTCTGAAAAAACGATGCCTGGGATTCCCTCAGTGCTTCAGGCTGGTAAGAAGTATCTTGGGCAGCCCTGAAAGTTACATCTGATGTGAATCTCCTGAGCCCACTCAATAATCACCCCTGAGCCAGGGCAGGCATTCATGCTACCACCTCCCACAGAGCTGAGAGCCCTTAGGACTCCCTCCTCTGAAGAAAATCTGGAAGTCCCAGGGTGCCCAGCTGTAGGACAGCTACTCTCAGGAAGGCTGGCACAGCTGGCTGAGTTCAGAGACCAGACTGCCCTGTAAACCCACCTGACAGTTTTCAACAGAGCTGTGAGTGAGTAATGGCAGAAATACATCCAACTGCTTCCCAGCCTTTTCCTGAGAAAATTCTCTCACTTGCACCAGAAAAGAAAGAGTTTGCAGAGGCATTATTTTCTTCTGTGCTACCAGTGTCTCAGAAAGGAACACAGGGTTTGCATCACTTCACTGTGCATGTCTGCATAGAGACAAATGTAGTAAATGCAGTCGTGCTTTATGCAGAAGCAGCTGTATTTCAGCCATGGATATGCCCCAGGACATGCTATTCACACATCTCATACGACAAAGGTAACAACATACTGTGGTTCACAAAGACTCTCTTTTCAATGAGTTAAAAACAAAGCTAAGGACTGTTCCTAGTTGGGAGAGATCTGACATCAACTACACACACTGCAGCAGACTCTGCTTGAGTAACTTGCTAGAATTCCAGTGAACATCTACTAAAAGTTTGTCTCTGGATCTTAGGGACTCCTCACAGCTTGAGTTCCTAATGTGCAAACTATCCTCCTTAGTGGCTCAGATTTTCCTATTTATCCATGAAAAATACCAAAGCTTTGTTAATTTTTACTAGCAATCCAGAATAAAGACAGTGGCTTCAGCAGTGCAGTCATTACTGATGTCACCAGAGAAGAGATTTTTCTTTAAAATTAATATCACAAGTCCTCACAAGGAGGATAGAAAACCTGAACACCCAATCCCAACTGTAACTAACAGTTGCCTCATTTCCAACATTGTTCAAGAGACAACTGCATAGAAAAAAAAAGAATTTCTGAACTGCAGTCTCACAAAAGAAAACAAAATCAAGTGTTACTGAATTATTGTAATTGCCACTGAAATAGCCCAGCTAAGGCATTTTCAGAATTAAATGGGTGCCAGATCCCAGCAAGAAGCTGTTGTCATATTCCTAGATTCTAAATATGCTGTGTTTGGGAAAGAGCTCAATGTTTTCTTGGCACAGCAAAGCACAGAGCTGAACTTACAGCTTATTTGCACTTAAAGACAACAGTCCCACTCAAGTGCTTGACTTTGATTGGAGACAGTTTTCAGCTCAGGACAGAACGCTCACTGCTGCATCATAAGGATGCAAGTACCACAGTACTGCAAGTGGTGGTGACATTTCACTTTATTCAGAAACTCTACACCTGGCAGATGTCTGAAGAAGAAGGTCCACAGCACTTTGGGGCACAGTAAAGCCCTCAGACGTGTTGAAAGCTCATCCAAGTCAATAGGACTGAAGTGTGTTCTTTCTATTAAGCATAAGTTTAATTAGAGATTTCCTGAACTGAAGCACTAATTATCCTGTTCTTCTCTAAAGGTTGATTCTCAACCTGTCTTCTTTGAAGAGATATATTTCATCTCCCAGGGAATTTTTAAGAAGCAATCTAGCTCTGCTGTCAACTATGCTTATATTATTAAATTTGGCAGGTGTCTGATGTTGTCATAAGGACAGTACTTTACAGTTAATATTCTCTTGCTTTATGTAGACCACATGAAGAGTTGAGAAACCAACTCTCTTTTAATTCTAAATGTAGCTGAAGGATACCACTCGCCCCTGGCTGGCTGACACTCACACCTTTAATTTTCCTTAGCTCTGCACACTGTTCAAGACTCCTAATGACAGCTACTGATAACAGTAGAAAATTATGCTTATGATCTCATAGCCTTTGTGAATTAGCAAAAAGATTAATGATAGTAATTGGCTTTCTTATTTGTCCTTTGCAATAAGTGCATAAAAGAATAGCTGTCCTTAAACTGCAAAAATAGAGAAGTCAACATTTATATTCTAGCATCATAAATTAAAGGTATTTCTGCTTAAGAAACACCAAGGAAAGCAATAATTTTCTAATAGTGTTGGAAAAGGAAATAGGGATCATCATTCACTTTGATATGTGAGATATCATTTATCTAGTGCAGACAGCCCTAACGTCCCATGATAGGTCAAGAGGAATAAAAGCATTTTAAAAAGGAGTGTTTGTGATACAATATGGTTAGAAATTAAACAGTCAGCAAGAGAGGACAGAGTTTCAATTTCCCAAGTCAAAATGCCTCAAGAAGGTGAAGCATTAGCAGAGACTGAACTTTTCATACCCCAGTTTGGAGACCTCTTTAAACATGGTCAGGTCATCATCACAGAAGGATGATTACCATGACACTAAATATTTGAAACCTGTTAAAGTGGGCTTGCTAACTGATCTGCATCTCATTCTACACTTATTTCTTCATTATTTCAATTACTTAAGTTATACATGAGTAGATTCAACTGTTCATCTTCTTCCCAGTACCTTAGTTCTATTCCCTTTCTGTAGTTGGATGTGGATGCCAGAAACATAACTTTCTTTTCTTGTCTGGTACCTATCCACTCATTGCAGCCTGTCCACTGCACCAGAGTAGCTACAAAAAGAGTAAAATGGGAAGGAGAAGGAAAGCCAAGTGAGATTAAATACGCCAGTGGACAGAAAAAGTAACAAGTCCCCCACGTGAGCCTGTGACATTCACCTGTCTTTGAAATGCCTTTACTGTCTTGAAGTAGTTCTACATTATAATGTCCAAGATCTGTTCTTTCAAGACCAATTAAGAGATAAGTTCCTTTTCTGAGTAGCAAAGGAGTAATATTAAAGTACCAAATATTAATCCTGAATTTGAATCTCTGCTGGTGGAACCCTATGTCAATTCAAGGCTCTCCTAACACATCTCAAATTATAGACCTAATCGAAGAGCCAGGGCTGAAAGTGGAATTAGCCTATGTTTTGTATTAATGCAGGAAATGCCAGGAGCACACTCAATAAAGGGGTATTTAAAAAACAATCACTATCAAATCTTGTTTCCAAACTAATTTTTTAAGCCACAGAGTTCATTTCTGCTGAGTCTTGTTTTAAAAATTTTTTCTGCTTATTTAATTTTTTTTTTAAATATTATCTACAAATGCTTGATTTAAGTGGAACTAGAGGGGAAGAAGGGGTTTCTGTTTCTTTGATAAGATAAATATATTGGCACCTTTATGAACAGACCTAAAGAAATCCCAGCCAATATTTAGTATTTGAAATTCAAAGTAGAAACTGAATCATATTCTCAACCCAGTTCCAGCAGTGATCCTTGCGCCTACCAGGCACACAGCTGGATGGAGGACACCTGCTCATGTCCTCAGAAACAGTGGGAACACAGAAGACTGTGACATAACATCAATATGAAAATGAGTAGATTTTAGTGTCATTACTGTTATTTGTATCAACAACCAAAGAACGAGTTTTCCTTAATAGAGAAGTATGGATACTGGCCACAAAAAGTCTCAGAAGTTTCTCAATCTCCTTTTAAAAAAAGTCTCTTTGAAACAGAGTAGTAGCAGTGAGGTTATGGACATTTACCCCACTGAATGCCCTGTAAATCAACCACAGATATGTAAGTGAACACTGTATCAGTCTTTGTTCAAGAGGGCTTTGCTTTCCAGAGAGCAGAGGAAAGAGTGTTTAATTAGTTGCTCTGCTCATTATTCATATATTAATAAAGCACTTGAAAGGTATAGTTTCATTACTCATTGACATCGAATTTCAAAGGCCTCATTCTCTCCTGTGAATTCAAATTAATTGTGCAAAGTTAAATCAGCAACTCTGTGCAGAGGAGGCTGCAGGAACAGCCCTGGCTTCGTGCTCCACAGCCACCCTCAAATCCCAGGCCCACAGTTTATAGAGACAAGTACCTTGTTGACTCAGTTCGTAATCAAACCACATAAATTTAAACACTGAGCTTTTCAGCATTCCTCTCATCCCAGAGGGACAAAGGGAAAGTCTATCCACCCTTTCCACACCTTTAATCGCTGCGCCAGAAAAGGAAAGGAGAGACACAGCAAGCTGTCAGCAGGGGAGAGGCATGTAGATGGAAGTTACTGGATGCAGATCTCCTAGGAGTCATATTTTGCTACTGACTTTCTCCATGGAAACCCAGCCTCACCAGTCATGTGCAGTCCCAGTGTGCACATCCCAGGACTCAGAGGACTGTGATAATTTCTCTGCATGCTGAACCAATTGTATTTTGTTTTCTCATTTTTAAACATGATTTCATCTTTATCAAGGAATATGAAAAGAGTGGAAAGAGGCTATCTTTTCCTGTTTAGTTTTTAAATTGATATTTTCAACAAGAAAATGTGAAAAAAAATATTATTTCAAACAAACATTAAAACACTGTAACTAAGCTCATGGAAAGTTCATTATGAAGTCAATAAAAATCAGGCAAATAAACTTTTCCTAGCAAAGCAAACTGGACCTTTCCCATACATTGAACAGGAGAAGGATCCATCCCCTTATTATTTTGAAGAAAGTAGTGACACAGTTTTCGAGTTCAGTACATGAACAGCTTATCCAAAATACACAGGATAAGTTCAAGCAAACTAACTCAAAATGAGGTATTTCGCAACTGGATGTTTTTTCCCCCAGTATGATTCACCCAGCACAGCTGACTGAACAATTCTGTTAACGTGTGAGCTGAATAACCAGTTTGATTGTCCTGGCACTTCAGAATGAGGCTTGTAATTTTTTCTCATCACTCATCCAGCTGTTCTGGTGAGCACCACGTAGCTGTCTGTACACTCCAGAATGAAAAATTACAAGTCTGGATTTTAAAGCTTATTAATAAACATGCACTGAAGGTGACTAGAACTTTGAATCTATATTAAAACACCATGAAAAGAACTAAATTACTCTATGCAAACCTTCAGTTCCTCCTGAATTTTTTCTTCCTCCAATTTGGCTGCTTTCCGATCCTCTGTTTCTATTTTCCATTTTTCTGCCACTATTCGGGCTTTTTCTTGAGCCATAGCATCCCGGAATTTCTTTGTAATTTCAGCTTCCTTTTGTCTCCTTCAAAAAAGATAGGAAAATAAAAATTATTTAAACCACTGGTTATTTTTTAAATTGAGGATCAATACTTACTCGCTAGTTGCAAGAAATAATTAGCATAAGACTTCATGGAATTATGTAAGGAAAGAAAATATATTAAACAGGAGATCTATCACAAACCAGATTTGAAGAAGCTATACAGAAAGCAGACAATTTACAATTTTTTAGAAATTACTAATTAAAATAACACATTCTAAATTAGACAAGTACTTCCTGGATGTCTTTGACCTTATTTTTTAATGTCCCTGGCTGCAAAAAATAGATTTTTCTGTCACTTTTTTTCTAGCAAAGCACAATTGGGAATTTATTGTCTTTCAAATACCAGTGCAAATGTTTGACAAATTCTTATGCTAGATTGTTTATTAGTACTGACAATGTAAAAGGAATGCAGAGCACAGGTTGAGGCCTTTAATCTCTGCTTCAGTATGTAATCACCATAAGCAAATAAGAATCTCATACAAAAAGGGATAATGTAGAATAACCTGATATTTAAACTGTCACTTTTCAGTGATGCACTAAAGGAACTGTGTGAGACAGGCGGCCTACTTCCTAACAATGTCAAGCATCAAAACATTTTTGAATCTCTCCCAAACCTGGTAAAGGCCCTGCTGGAAACATCAGCATGGCACTTCGCATAATCAGTTTCTGAACTGCCAGAATAAGAATTAATGCAAGCAAAATGCAAATAAAACCAATTTTGAAAAGGATTTTATGTACCAAATCCCCATTGTGGGCTCAGATTTGTGATACAACAAACATATTAAATTTAATTATCTCAGAACCAGATTGTTTCATTTTTCTTTATTTACAGATTGGGGGACGGTTTAGCAAAATTCCCCAACAAGGAAAACATTTGCTCTTTTTTTATTATTTATTTTTTGTAAAAGGGAGTTTTTTTTTTTCAATATTCAAAAAAAACCAACAAAATTACATTTTGTACATGCTGAAAAACTCCCAAAACAAGTGAAAGCCAATGTTCACAAAACATACTTACCAGTTCTACCCACCATTACCTGCAACCTTTCTACAAGGTCATGGCTCCCATTATGCCAAGCGGACCCTGAATTCAGTGTCATAGATCCTCACCATAGTTCTTCTGCCTCCCTCTGGGCCTGCTGCCTGGCTCTCTCTGCTATGAGCTCCTCGGATATCTGCTCGTAGGGCTTGTCACCTGGGGCTTCTCCCATCACCCAGACCCAGACCTCACCATCCTTCCCACGCAGCCACTGCACGTGTTTGCCATTACCTGCAACAGCCACCGGGACAAACCAAAGTATAAACGCTGGCTCAAATTCTCACACAAATGTAGGTGTAAATATGGTAAATCTGCAGTCTAGAAACATTAAATCTTGCAATTTACAATTCAGAATAAAATGTTACTCGGGGGTTGAAAGAAATCTCCTGATTCGACCAATCTACCACGCTGGGGTTTGTGTGCTGCAGATCACACAACCTTTAAAGACTCACTGTCCCACAAAAATAAAAATTATTATTTCTGGCATGCATTTCCCAGAATTTCAGTGTTATGATCCTCACTTCAGCGTTTTATTTTCTTGCTTTGCTCAGGAAGGGATGAATGAAGAGCATGGCAAAAGAGATGGGGCAAAACCAATAACCAGTGACATTATGTGACTCGCAACCCTTTGTGCACAGAAAATGTTGACACCTTCAAAAAATCCAGTAATGATGTCTCTGGGTGAAGGAAGAGTTTCAGGGAGCCTGAATACTCAGAGCACACCACTCAGCACTGCAAAGCCTATTCTGTTCACGCAGGCAATTGAAAGGGATGAAGTTTCTGGTTCAGCTTTCAAGAAACACACCATGCAAAAATCTACAGTTACTGTGTTGACAGGGTGATGTTAAGAACACCAGAAAAGCCTGACAGCTCTTTACAAAACAGACTACACTTGATGAACCTTCATGTCCAAGAACAAACTACAGGACTGCAAAGGGCGCTAGATTAGATCCCATCTGGATATATTTTAATATAAACTACCTGACTTAGTGTAGTTTGGCCTTTTCCTTCTGCTTTTATATGTGTAACTCTCAAATATCAAAAGCATTTTAGATGTTCATAATAAGGAATTTGTAAAAATATCTTTTATACATCCATTTTTATGTTTTATTTCTTGCAAATTTGTTGAAACTTTTCTTCAACAAATAAAAGGAGATTACACTACAAAAACTGCTGCCAAGATGGACAATGGATTTATTTTAAAGAATGCGGACTACAAGGCCGTAAAGGTTCAGCAGTTTCTATCACTCCCTGTGTATTACAGTCCTCTAGATTTCACCCTCTCACCCAAATATTGAGGTTAGAAAACTGTGGGCCAACACATAGTTTTTAAAAGGTATCTTGCCTCCTTCTAAAATGTGAAGAAATGGACAGGGTACCATTTTTCCAATTGGTTTTTCCCCAGTGCTCCCATAAAAGAAACCTGGCCAGGCTCTGCTTCTGCTTTTTCCACATCCTTCTCTACAATCACCAGCTTAGCTACTCTCACCCTCAACTTCTCTTGTTCTGCAATAGGGCAGTATCCATTTAACTGGATTAAGTTTCCCAGAGCACAATCAATAAAGTGTTTCTGACATCCCAGACTGCAGACAGACAAGTGCAGGAGGAAGGGAAGTGGGGCTGTTGACAGCAGGCAGTGTCCCCGCCAGCCCACACTCACAAGTGTTGACAATACGAACTGAGGGCCAGGAACGTATCGGATCTCCCAATGAAAGCTAATATTCTATATCAAATTGGAAAATGTAATTTATACGAATTCCCAGTGTTGGCCTAACAGTACTGACTTCAAGGGGGGCTGGAAATTTAAGCTAATAATGTTTTCCTTCAACAGCTCTCAAAAGCATTTGCTCTTTCCCACTCTATCAGATTATGTCTCAGGTTATAAATGTGAATGTATTCTATTGCCGTTCTTATTCGGTACATTTCTGTGTTCCTGTCAACCTGACATTTATGCTGCATTTTTTGGATACGTCATTTGAATACCATCTACTGAGACCTGACTGGCCATATGAGTATTTGCCTGCCAGGTTTTCATCTACTGCATTTCATAGTAAAGTATATTAAGAAGTATGGAATTATTTCCCATGAGTACCAGTCCCACATAACCAATGACAGCTTTTGTTTTAAAAGTGTCCCACATCCTCTTTCCTATAAGGAATCTGAATATCCTGTTTGGTCTCCTTTATTTGGCACTTTAAAGAAAACATTGGAAACAACAACATGCCTCGTGATTGATCTGTACCATAACTTGTAGATACCAAGTACTTTACTGTTCTCACACAACTTCACTACTTCTGTTCATTTATGACCTTATCAGAGGGAAAGAGAATAAATTTTAAAAACAAGAAACAAACAAACAAAAACAAACAAACCCCAAGGCCACCTTTTCAGGTAGGCAGAAAAATTTTATCTTTACCTCTTTCTGGGTTTTCTGTGCCAAAGAGTTTTTAATGTGCTTCTCAGAGACACAACTTACCCATTGCAACCAAGCCCCATAAAACAAACAGTGGATTTGTAGATGTCTTGAGAAATTGTTTTCTTTCTTCTTTTAAAACAATGAATCTCTCTTCCAAAGCTATAGACAGTAAATGTATAAACTCTCCTGAAAACATCAGTGTAACACATTTCTGGTTCAGCACTACCTACTGCATACCCCAGCACGCTGCTGAACACACACCCCCAGTTCAAGCTGAAAGATCACAGCAGCATTAAACAACCTGGAAATTTTAAGCTTCAGGATTAAACAGACAGACCTCCATATATAAAATTTTAAAACAGTTCAACTTGAGCACATATGCCTTTATTCAGGTTTTTCTCCAGAAGAAAAGGCCTTTTCACATCCAACCATCTATTTTACATTAAGAAATGACTCCTGTGAAAAGCTTCCCTTAGACCTATGCTCCCATAAAGCTGGAGATGGGCTTTACTGTACATTTTGATCATAAAACTTTATGTTTTAGTTTCTTAGCACATAATAACATAAAAAATGAGCATTCAGAAAAAGAAATAAGCGCCTCAGGGAGAAAATCTAGCAATGTGAAAACAGAATTTCTGCCATACAAAAACTCTTTGCAGCCTCCAGAATCACATTCACAGTGACAGTGTCAGCTCTGCTGGACTAATGACACTGGTCTTGCACCTTTAAATTGCAGAATGAATGGCAAGAGTTGAGATGAAAGTATAGAAAATTATTTTCCCTAATATTTTTAGGAAACTAGTGTTGACTGCTTTGCAAGTAGAGAATTATCACTATTGAGGGCCAATTAAAAAAAAAAACATTCCGCTTTAAAATGCCTCTCAAGTATTAAGTTTTTCTGCAAAATAAGATGTTTTATGAATTCATTTTATATCCAAGTGAAACAGGAAAAAAAATTAAGAAAGATTTAACTAAATATAAAAGGAAGGGACACGTCCTGACTAAACAAATTTGAAATCTAAGTGAGAAAGAGGCAAGAGAATTGCATATTTCCTTTTTACAGGCAGGCTTCTGAGCCCAGTTACAAATCCTAATACAGAGTCAGGAAAAAAAAAAAAAGTCTCTTGAGCCCCAGTCTTGTGCCTTGACCACAAAAGTACTTTTTTCTTCCTGAAGAAACTGTAACAGGCTGCAAATAATTATCATTAGGAAGTAGTGGACATAAAAATTAGTCTGGATTGGAGAGTAGAAACAGAAGTGTTTTGGAAACAAATACTGCTTCATCGGGTAAACTTACTGAATAATTTACCATGTCTTCTCCATCCCTACTCTTCATATTAGTGGTCTATCAGCTTTAATATTCCACCATTTTTCACCTAAAACAACTCTGTAGCACCACAAGAAGACAACATTAACTCTTGCAGTTCTTTTTAACCTTTTAGCTCCTCCATGAGTTAGTATCTCACAGGAAGTTCCTCTAAACCTACATCTATACTGTTTATTGTGTTGAGACCAGTAAATTGGCTTTTGGATATGCTACTTACTCCAAACAAATGCCAGATCAGACAAATACAAAACCAGGTCTCTCGACTCTGCAGTGCAAAGGGATCACAGCTAAAACTTCCTAGGAGACCTAAAACATGAACCAACAGCAGCTCAAGTTTGCACATATAAACACACACAGTCAAAAAAATAAGACCAAATGGTGTTTTCTATGTGTTTGATTTTACAGAGTCAATTCTATAACAGCAATGAAAGTGTAAAACAATGTCCTGGAGAGCCATAGGAAACTCAAGCTCTCCCCCACAGGAATTATGAGCTTCTGCCAGCAGCACCACTGATCTCACACCCACCCAGAGTGCTGGAGTGTTCCCAGGGGCTGTGCTGCAGGACACCACAGGCTGCTCCTGGCCCTTGTGTCACCCTGCAGTCAGCAGGGTATCATTACTGTCACAGCTGAACACTGCCAGGGAATATGGACACTGCCCAGCACCTTGGGACAGAGAGGAGCACGGCAGCTGATGGCACAGGGATGGGGAATCCTGGCTGCAGGCAATGACCAGGCTGCATCGGGCTTCACCTCCCATCACCTCCACCTTGCACTTTAAACAAAGAGTTACACAAAGGAGCACTGGGCCTCACACAGTCTCAGCTAGTTGGAACAGAGGAGCTGAACCACAGAGTGGGTTTAAGAGCTTTATGGGTGCTGGCTTTTTGGTGTGTTTTCTGTGGGTTTGAGTTGTATCTGCCTTCATTTTCTCACGGTTCCAATAAAAAGTGCTTTAAAAATAATGATGATTAGAGCAAATGGTATTAATATTGGAGTCAGCTTCCTTCCTCCAAGCTTGTTCGCCATTGCTTTAACAGTTGCAGCATCCCCAGCAATTCCCATTTGTGATTTATAGCCAGTGTTTACAAGGGAACTACTCCAAGGACCATTAGAGGCCTGATCTGGTGTCAAGATTTCCAGCTGTGCTGTCACTCAGCCACAATCTGCCTGCTTAGTCCAGCAAAGATAGAGAGCACCAAGTGCCTTGCTGCCTTTCTGTCACAGGGAATACTACAGAAAATTAGAAGATCACTTATTTATAGTCTCAGAAACATGGGACAGCATTCAAAGTCTGATGAAATTCTTTTGAAAGAGTTTCCTGTTTCCATGAACAGCCTTATTTCTCTGAGGCTGGGCTTTGCACTATAGTTCTCCTGCTTGGCAGCTACAGATCTCCGCAGCAACAATTGACTCTCCTTTCTCACCTGCTGGAAAGCTTTGTAGTCATACAAATATCTTCTGACTCTCTTTAGAAAATAGAGAGTC